ATTATGATAAACCATTAGAAATAAGGAGCAAATAGAATCTTAATTCAACCAAAGACATGGAGAACAAGTCTCACTAGAAATCCATTTATAATTAAACAAATGATTTAAACAATATATTATATAATTATAAAATAAATATATTAATAAAATAAATGTCCAAAATTGATTGGGAATAGAAACTCAAATGTTATCACGCTTTAAAAGATAAAAAATCGATTACGAACATGCTTTAAATTAAAACAAAAAATATTAGATTATCACCATCATTGGTATCAACAACAAGAGCAGGAACTGAACGAAATTCTTTTCGACATAAGAGATTAAAGACTCCAATGGAAGATGGAATATTGTAAATCAAAACTAGTAGATCGTAATAAGTATGTAAAGATAATTGAGGAGGTATCTCCATTAAGGGACGTTTGTCCTTGGAACACTCAGACACCATTACAGAAACTCATGAAGATTGATAAAGCCACAGAGAAGGAAAAAAAGGTTTTACAGTAATTTATATGCAATAAATGGCTAAAAGAAGTCATTTTAAAGAAAAGCATTCATGTGGCTATTCCAAAAGAATCCGAAGAGGAGAAGAGAATTAGACTATAAGAATTTGAGACCTCTGAACATCATCGATAGTTAAGAATATAGCAATCATTAACACCAAGCATGAACAAAATGGAGAAGGTGTTCTGCAAAATAAAAATCTTTTGTAAGTTAGCAAGTTAGCGTGGGATACCTCTAAGTGATTAGATAAGAATTAATAATGATTACCGTCGTCTAGTGTTTTTTGTGCATTTTCGAAATGAAGATTACAAAATATGTGATCAGATGATCAATTCGGATCCTCATATAAAAAATGCAATCGATATGGTATAAAATACCTCAATTTTAAGTAAGGTGATAGGCCTTTACATATTGCAGTGAGGAGAAATAATCTGAGATAACTCACATATATATTGAGTAAGTAGCCTGATTTAGAAGCGATCAATTTTTATGAATAGACAGCACTTAATTTGGCGATATTGTTGAAACATTTTGAAATCCAGAAGGTATTCTTGTGAGATAAAAAGATTCTCTTAGCTAATGGATGCAGTCCTTGGAAGATATTCAAACCGAACAAGTTAGTGAGGACAGCCATTCTCTACAGGATGAGAATGATATGTGAGCATACCCAATTATACGATGAGTTGTCCTATTGTCTGAATATAATTAATTGATATTTTATTATTTTATGGATAAATTTGAAAAGCGTCTTAATCAAGTAAATATGGGTACTCCCAAAAATCCAGTTGTCTAGTAATCTACAATGAAATAAACCGATGCAGCAAAGAGCTATGCTTCTTTTAATGATTTTAATAAGATGGGAGAATAATATGATAATGAAGCTGTTAACTTGAGATCGCAAGTACAAATCTTAGAAGGAAAGCTTTAATTTTACGAAAGGGAGTTTCAAATTAAAGTAAATATCATATTCTTACAATTTTAAGTAAGTGTCTCTTGAGAAACGTATATAATAATTGATATCCACCTCATCGTAACTAACTCAACAGAATACGCAATTAAAGTTGTAATACTCAGCCTTATTGAATGAATATCAACTGCTTTAGGAGAAGCTAATCTAATAGGAGAAAGGGTAGAAGGAGTACGAGGAGAAGGTGAGATCATAATTTGATGGCTTGAATAAATTTCAAATAGAAAAAGAATAATTAATTTAATATGCAAATAAATGTAGAGAAAGATCAAAATAGAGAAAAGTCAAAGTAAAGGACTTAACAGCTAAGGTTTAAGAGTTGCAAGAATAAGTTAAATAATTTGAATTGTAGTATGAGTAAGCCAATATCGAGAAACAATAGATTTATGATTAATTTCAATAGCAATTTGTATTGCTTTCAGAATAAAATGAAGATTGGCAATTGAAATATGAAGCAATGGTAGAAAATTTTAAGAATCATTTAGCAAATCAAAATGATAGCTAATAGGAGGAGCAACTATTAGCCACTCATACTATTCTGGATCAACAAGAAGCTGAAACTGTGTAATAGTAATTGGAGAATCTAAGTTTATTGAACAAAGAGCTTAATTAATTGTTGAGTCAGTTGAAAAATGCTAATTAAATTAATTCTTAAGTATTTGAAATGCCCCAAATAAAAGAATTAGCAGATATGTTTAGTCGAATGATAGATAAATTGATGGAGTTATAATAGAAAAAGACTTAGCTGAAAGAATAACTAAAAGTATATATATTTATTAATATTCCTCCAGGTAAATTAATTCAACCTATAGCAGTAGATATCAATTAAGTCTAGTTCTGGGAATTAGAGTCCGAATGTTCATGATGAGAGAACTAAAATGCTTTTTGAATAAAGAATTCTTGAATTAGAACAGTATGATTGATTTAATAGTAGATTCTATTAGAAAGACAAGAAACAAGAAAAGGTTCGATCCATCACTTAACCAAAATCTAATGATAGAAAACTCTAATAAGTGATGTCTGTTATTGTTTAAATGTTGGAAGAATTTCTAACGCAATAACAAAATCTCTCTCTTTTGAATCATCATCTGAATGATATGCAATAGGATCCGAACTTTAAACCAAGCAAAAGATCTTTCAAAGTTGGAACTTGGGTTATTATTGCCATAAATCGTATTAAGCGGATAAAGGGGTCCTCATATTATCAATAATTTGTAACATACAAAAAATTGAAAATTGAAATGCCAATTGTTGATTCCTTGAATTAAATCTTGGAACTTGTGACTGGTCAACAATCTTTAATTGACACATTGTAAAGAGCAATAGAATAAAAAGGGTTTGATGGTGGATTTTAAGAGCAAGAAATCTAATAGATGGTTGATTAAGAATTAAGATAACAATTAATGGCTTTGTAGATAGAACTTGATAACAATAATAAGAAGATGATGGAATACAAACTGAAATCAGAATAAGACATTGAATAGAGAGATCAATTAATAGAGGAATTGTAGTAATAATTGTAAGAACTGCCCAATGATTACAATTAGGAACTACTGGAGCATTTGGATGATCAAAACAATAGAGTCAAAAATATAGAAAATGAATTTAATGTATTGCAAGATCTTGTCAATTCGCTAATGTGATTTATTATTAATCCAATTTCATTTATTATTAATTTTGAGATTCAAACTAATAGAAAAGGGAAATTTCTAAAACAGATTATAATTTTAATATTTATAGATGACTTGGTAAGATTTAAAAAATACAAATATTTTGGAAATAAGATTCAATTCTCTAATTTATCCTAATTATTTAACGCTGATTCTTGTTGCTGCTACTGATCTTAATATTCGACTCTACGTTTTTTGTTATATTGGTTAATGTAACAGTTTTAGCATAATCCACCTAGAAAATCAATATTATATAATCTTACAAGCATACAATTTTTTATGAGAGCAAAGCCATGGCTGCTTGTTTCTACCAACTCGATGGTAACAATTATTGCACATTCCTTTTGCATAATGTTCTTTATCTGGATGACCACAAGTATTTATTTTTTTACTTCTAATTTAGAATGTAGAAACGACTTACATTTTCTTGTTGATTGTCTTGGGAATCTCTTTTTCATTTGTCAATCCATCGAATTACATAACTCTTGCATTTGTATCAACCAACTGGCGTTACAGCATTTCCTATTACGTCATTTAGTAAATGGGTGGAAGAACTTAGTCGTTCTCCTCCACTTTGATTGAAGGATTCATCAGATTTAGTGTAGTCTAATTACGATCGCCACTAAGGTTGAAACGCATAACTTAAAAAGTTTAAGTTTAAAAACTTACATTGAAGACTTTAGAGTAATGGGTGAAAAAAATTCATTTTATATTTATTAATTAATAATATTTTTTACAATTTAACGATCATGAATACCTCTTTTCCTAAATAATCAACAGTTTCATCGTTAAGTCAATCTCTCTTTCCTGAACTAAGTTTGAAAATCCCCTTTCATTCTATTCTTTGAAGAAACTAAGTTCTAACAATATTTTGGAGATTGTTTTTCGGATTCATCTACCAGAATGGGGAGTAGTCGATGCGAATTATTTCAAATTGATCTTTTGAATTAAGGTTTTGTTTTAGATACTTAAAAATAAGTCGCAGATCTTTATTAGAAGGGTTAAATGAATTTGAATATTAAAAAGAGATAATTAAAATAAAATTTTTGCTGAGGGATAATAAGAATTGTTGTAGACAACAATTAAGATAAATTTTACTCTTTGTTTTAAAGACCTTCATCAAAAGAAATACCAATAAAAAATGCATTTTGTAAGCAACAAAACAGATGCAATATTTATATGAATCTTTGAATAAGTCACTGAATATACTTCATATATTAATTAATATAGGAAATAAAAATTAGAAAATATAGTGGTTAGACTTACTCGAGCAACTAGAAAAACATATAAATGTATTACTTAAGTTGCTAGAGTCATAGCTATAAAAAAAAGTAAATTTGGAGAAGAAAAGATCTCAAAGGAAGAAATAGATCATCTTATTATATGATTATTGATAATTTATGGAGTTTTCATATTTCAACAATAATTGAAGTATCTGTTTAACCCCAATATACAGTGATCATTTATGGAATGAAATATCACCCCTCAACAATTTATTTATATATTTTTTATAGTTTATTCTATTTGTAAGATTGAAAATTTTTTAGACAACTTAATTTTAGAAATTTATGGTTGATAATGTAGTTTTCCCTCTAATTATTTATATTCATGTAAAAGGATTATGGTTTTTGTTAGTAGAATTTTTTATTTCTTTTAATATCGATATATGTACTACTCATTTATTTTTTTTAATATATATCTGATAAAGGATTATGATTTTTTAATATAAAAAACTAGATTAAATGAGTATCATGGATTTTTCCTCTAATGAATACAAGATCAAAGATATGTACCATTAGGAATATTGATCTTTCAAAAAATTATACTATAAATCTGAGAATTTAGCTTCTTAAAATAACCCAGATGATTTTAGAGACTTGATGATTGTTCTTATAGAAAAATAAATGTATTCATTAAGAGAAATTGAAAATGAATTCTTTGAAATTTTAGAAAATAAAAAGAAAGTGAATAATCTTGAATTAGATGATCTAATTATATAACTTAGAATGTTTTTTTAATTTTTGGATATTAAGTAGAGAAAACATAACATTCCCATTAATTTTATTCAATAGTTAGTTGATCCTGAAAAGAATCTTAACCAAATAATAAACACACTGCCTTATTGGTAAAAGGTTATAATATAAATTATAAAACAAATTTTACTCAAGGAATAATTTATATTGAAGGCAACCAATAAAGAAGAAATTGAAAATTTGATCTTCCCTACTCATGAAGAATATAATAAGTATATTTAAAATCTACTTTAAGTTCGAGAATATTAATTGGACCAACCATATTTGGATTAAAAAATGGCAATTTTTTATATATAATTGATGGAGTTGAAAAATAGGTAATTTTTAATACTAAATCAGGGAGGAGAAATGAGGATGGGTAAAAAGATAGGACTTTGGAAAGAATATGGAATATTAGGAGAAGACTTTATAAACTAAATCTCTTTGAAAATCCAATATGATTAAGGAATTATTAGTTATATAAAGGATGGAGAAATATTAAAACAGTATAATTAGATAATTATAAAGATGTAATTAAATTAATCATGTTTTGTTGAGAAATATCTAATAAATCAAATATTTTGGTTGGCATGGAAATTATAATAATGGTAAGAAATCTGGAAAGTTTTAAATTATTTGGAAAGGCTAAAATTTGAATATTGGTGGGGAATATAATGATAAAGGTGAAAAGTTTGGTTCATGGACTGAGTTATTCGAAAATTATGGGGAGTATAAACTTTATTTTTTCATTACAGTAAATCCCAAGTTTATTATATTGGGCAATATTAGGATGGGAAAAAGTGTGGCTCATGGACTCTATAGTACGACGAAAATTTGAAAACAGTTACTTTGTATGTGTAATATTCTAAAAGGCCTTAGGGAAAGGACAACGAAAAAAGATTGAAAGGATGGA